ACCATGAAGACATTTGAAAACTAAAGAACCTTCAAAAATTAACCCAGAAACAAACTGGGAGTCAGTGATTCTAAAACAGGGGTGATGTGCTCTGGTTTACTGGGACCAGTTAAAAGGTGAGCAGCAGCATTCTGGACCAGCTGAAGTCGGGTCAGTAACGACTGGCTCAGACCCACACGAACTGGATTACAGTAGTCCAGACGAGTTGGATTAAAATCTGAACACTTCAGGAGAAGACGCCAGCAGGTGGTCCTCTGCAGGTCCTGATGGGCTCAGGACACAGACCTGGTCCACCACCAGAGACCAGGAGCTGTGAGGAAACAGATGGAGGACAGGCTGGGGGGGTGAGGGCGTTTGGTTCTGCCTGTAAAACCAGGTGTGGATCTAAGGCTGACCGGACCATCCTCAATGGTTCTGATCAGGAGTCTGAGCCACCAGCTGAAGTTTTCAGGGTCCAGTAAGTGAAAGGTCAGTGTCTTCGGTCAGAACCTCTGAAGGTTCTGAAGAACCTCCATGAATATGAAGAGCCTCTAAATGTTCTGAAGAACATCTAAAGGTTCTGAAGAATCTCTGAAGGTTCAGAAGAACTTTGAAAGTTAGGAAGCTGAAAACATCTAAATCAAATAAAAAGACAAAAAGTGAAAAAGTCCGAGACAGGTGAAGAGCGTGTCAGCAGCTGATGAGGTCATCACAACATGGCCGCCTTCAGAACAGACTCTGATTGGTGGACACGATGCTAATCTTGTTAGCTTTCTTAAGATGTTTTCAATGCTACGTTAGCGTCAGAGCTAACGGACGGTGTAACTCCACGCACGGTACGAGCACGAAACATGAAACTTTATTTACATCTAATGTTCATTCACTGCTCACTCCTACAAAATAAAGCTCTGCTCAGCCCTTCACAATAAGAGCCTTGGATATCAGCAAGGAGGAGGAAGCTGCAGACAACCTGAACAATGGAACGGTCCCGGTCTAAGAATAGTCTTCCTGCTTCTCTTCATGGTCCACGACACTGACAGCAGAGACACCACCGTCCACCTCTGGGACGCCCAGGGGACGATTATGTCACTTCCTGCTCCACTGAACTATGTCTGGAGGCGCAGCAACTACACTCCAAGTCTGGAAGAGGACAGAGATCTCTGAGGACAAGAATGTCCCGAGAGGACAGGTGAGGTGGATCCAGGACAGGACAGGTGGATCCAGGACAGGACAGGTGAGGAGAATCCAGGACGATTGAGGTGGATCAAGGACAGGTGAGGAGGATCCAGCACAGGCGAGGAGGATCCAGCACAGGTGAGGAGGATCCAGGACAGGTGAGGAGGATCCAGGACAGGTG